GGGAAAGAGAGGGAAATGGACATTATATTATTTCTTCCAATCCTTTCCTCACACTCATGGATTTGTTGGCAGATCAGGAAAAGGAGTAAAGAGAATCTTTTGCTCCTGAAATTCCAGCAATCCTGCTTTCAATGATCACTTTCCCCCAGAGCAGTTACTGGAAAGAAGATATTAGAGTGACATATTACTTATTAAAGAAGGTAGTTTGACTCACAGATATTTTCTTGAAATAACAGGAAGTTTTTCTCATCAGTACAGATGCTCTCTCTCTTATTTTGTGTAGTTAGGTGTGGTGTAGTTTTAAATTTCTTTTTTTTTTGTACCCCCCCCCCCCCCCGGGGGGGGTTTTTTATTGGTTTTTTTTAAAGACTGCAAAACTACAACAGAAAATATGGGGTAGGACGGTTTTATCTTGTTTTTAATTGTTTTATCTTGGCACATGGTGCTGTTAACTGTGAGCTGCGCTGAGCCTGTCCGCGGGGAGGGTGGGATATAAATCCAATAAAATAAATAGAGTGCAAGCAGAGATTCTCTAATAACATTTACTTGTGTACTATACCTGGAACCATCCTGTAGCATTACTGAGATGTACCTCTGGCTAGGAGTTAAATGATCTGGTGTAGGAAAGATAACTATATACCTAAGGTTTCTTCAGTGGATGCTTATATCTGAATCAGGCCTGACCAGAGTCATCCAGAACAAGCTGGTTTCCGTTTGTTCTTCACAGTCAGGGAAACAGTGACCATCTTAAGATCGGGTTGATCAGTTCCATATCTTATCTTTCATTTGGTCAACTGACATGACCAGTTGTAACAAAATGGCTGCCAGGCAGAGGCAGCAGTACCTTAAAATGGCTGCCAGTCTGGTAGTCCTCTGGAGGGGAGAGGTACTCCATAGGGAACAATGGGGCTGCCATACCTCCCTGCCTACATTTCCCAGCAGCTTTAGGGAAAGTGAGGGAAAGTATGGACCCACCCCGGGGGCAGAGCCTGCCAGATAAAGGCTTTGGCCCTCCAGGGAGGCTTTTAGTCTCAGCCTAGTCTTGGCCTTCGCCTGAGCTTGAACAGCAGCTTCAAGGGGTGCGTACAGGTGGGACTCCTGCTACCAACACTCCGTGGCCAGTCCAGGCCACTATAAATCGTGGTGGACAGCCAGGAGGGTTAGTTTCTCTCCAACAACTAGGAGGGGGAAAGCAAATCCTGGCCTGCAGCCACCCATTATAGAGGTAGAGAGGGTGTGTGTAGGGGACAGAGGAATTGCAGTTTACTTCTGTTTATTTTCTGCCCAGGTTGAGTTGATGTTCCTGTGTTTATGTTTGGTGCCTAACTTGTATATAGCTAAAATAAATCTTGTATATAGTTAAAATAAATCTAGTGCCTTGACCACATAGTCCTCCCTGCTCAGCACGTTACCAGAGGCAAAGGGAGACCAGGGAACTCAAACGGGCCCAAATCAGAGGGGTTGCCAACTCTCCAGGGGGCGCCCAAAGATTGAGAGCCACTTTCCCGGGTTGGGAAATCAGCCAGAGGGGTCTCACTGTCCTTTTAAGAAGGCGGCGTCCATTCAGTGAGTGGTGGCAGTGACAGAGGAAGGAAATAGCTCCACGAGGCAGGGTGGGCAGACGAAAACGGGCTTGCGAACCACAGAATGGCTATTCAGTCTCCCAGGGCTGAGGGTGGGTCCCCGTTTCATCACACTAGTACTGACTTTTTAACAGCTTAAAGCATTCTAGCACAAGACACAACCTTTCAAATGAAGCAAAAATCATAAAATATCTGTGTTCAAGGTTTGTAGAATGAAAATTACATTTGTAATATTTAAGTATATTTTAAAAGTTTGTGAAAGTTTAGTTTAAAGTCAGTTGCACAGTTACAATGTAATGACAAACAATGGTTTATTTAAATATATAAACAACGGTTTATAGTTTATAATTACAGGAATGAGCCCGTCACTGGTCTTGCCCCCTTCCTCTCCCTATTTTCTTATCCAAAGCTGAGAAAAGAATCACTTCAGCTTTCACAGCAAGCCATCGTTCGTTGTTGTGTCAAAACCTCTAACTATGATTTGTTCTCTTCATAGCAGGATTGACTGGTGTGAAACCCTGTTTTGGAGGGAAAACACTGTGATTTGATTTTCTGCAGAAGTGATTAATTTCTTTTGGACAGATTTGTTTTTTATTCACTGTAATCCACAGTACAGCCCTTTACAGCACACAAAGCCACGCTTATGCTGCGGCTTTCTTGGCTTCTTTAGTTTTTTTAGGTTCTGCAGCTTTCTTTGCTCTTGCAGCGGCGGTGGCAGCAGCGGCAGCCGCTACCTTCTCTCTCCCCTTCGCTGCTTTTTCTTCTCTCAGCTTGTGATTCCGAGCATGGCGCAGAATGGTGTTGCACCTCATGGTCTTGGCATACGGGTTCAGCTTAATCATAACTCTCAAATTCTTCAGTGGATTCTTCTTCAGAACTCTGCGGTGAATCTTTTTCTTTGGTGCACGCAGGGCCCTCTGGATCTCAGGGCTTTTCAGGATTCTTCCAAGATCTGTATTGGTCATTTTGTGCATTGGCAGATTGTAGTTGCTCTTCAGGGTGGCTGGCTTGCGCCAGGTGCCGTACAACTCATCCAGCTTGCGGAAAGCACTCTCCGTCCAAATGATTAATTTCTGAGTCACACATGAGAGGAAGATGAAAAGGAGGCTGCATGTTACTGTTTTAAGGGTTAATTCCTGTATTGTCAAACCACAGTTTGTCATTGAGTATGGACTTTACCCAGAGATATGGCAGGGACATTTTTATATAAAGGACTTCAAAATACTGTTTTTTCCTCTAGTAGTTGCCTTGGATGTGAGGGCGATCTGGCTGCGACATCTGTCACCCCATTGATCGCCAGGGTAGTAGTTGCCTGCTACTGAAGTATAGAATTCTCTTAATAACTTTCTAAATCTAACATTTGTAGACATGGATATACCAGTTTTACTATTTGAAGATGATGGTTCACTATTATACAGCCCAGCAAGGAAAATTAAGTATGAGTGCAGTGCAATGGAAAGAAGAATAAAGGACATGAAGGAGAAAAGAGAAAATCTTTCCCTTACTGGTATGTTGATGATACTTGTAAACACTCAGGAATTATTTCGCTTCTTATTGTTGATGTTTTCTCATTATTGTTTTCAGGCTTCCTAGAACTATGTTATCTGGTTTATTATGCAGAAATTTTCCAAGTTCCAAGTTCTTAAGAGACTGTCAGTATATATTATATGGTTCTAGATATCATCACAGATTCCATAATCTCTATAGAAATGCCATAATTTTACTTGATTTGAATATATTACTTTCTTGATCAGTTTGCTCATATTCTAAACTTATTTGAGCTGAGTCTGTAAAGCTGCAGTTTAAGTATATTTTGGAGTGTGGGTTTGTCCATAGTTGAGTTTCTTGGTTGATCCAAAAAAAGAGTTAATTAAAAGGGGGGGAGGGTTGAGCAAGGAGTTTGGCTAGATGGGGTTGGGCCTATAAGGGCCCTTCCAACTATTGGCATCCTCTTCGTTCCACCTGGGTATCTGACCACAGTGTAAGAAGTTTATATCTGGGCAGTCATCTTCTGTTTTATTCAGATATATCATATTTTTATCTTTTGGATGGCCCTGAGCTTTTAGACTATTGTGTGGAATAAATCTGAAATAAGAGAATGAATTTATTACCCTCATATGATTTTTTTGCAGCACTTTGAGGCAGTCATCTTGGTATAGAATTCTACTTGTGTATGGCAGCCTGAGTAAGTTTGGCAAAACTTTCTCAAGGGCACTGGCTAAAATTAATTTAAACTGGCTGTAACTTCATCAAGCGATCATTTTGAGTTGAAGCCAACTTTTCCATTGGTGGAAAAGGAACGGTTTCACCTTCACTAATAAGTTTATCAAATGAATGTCTGTTTATTAGATATGTATATCCCTATTAATAGTTAATAGTTAATAACAGTATTTGATCTTAAAACAAGACAAAATTTAGTATTTACATTCTTAAAAGTTTATTTACAGTGAAAATCCTATTTTTAGCTTCACAGATGTCTCAAGTATCTGGCTCTAGTTCTGTTCAAGCAACACAAGAACCAGTTCTTGCTTCTACCAGCTCAACTTGGGTATTAGCAGGTAAAAAAGAAATAAAACTTGTAAAAGAAAAGTATTGAATGTCAGTTTAATGTATTGAATCCAATGGATTGTGAACAGCAATTACTTGTTTCTGCTTGCATCCAGCAGAAGAGGGGGAAAGAGGCATTATTACTTGATTTCTCAGTCATCAATAGATCTATTTCTTATTGTCACAAAATCTGAGAATACTTAAATCCAGAGACTGGAGCCATGAACATACAAGACAGATCTTTCTATAAACCTAAAGAACACCCACATTTGCAGAGAGAAAAATCTGAAATCTAAAATAATACATTGGGAGGGTTAACCCCCCCCCCCAAGAGCTCAGTGGATATTGTGGGTGTTTGCTAGGCAGCCACAATAGCAACCTTCAAATTTTGGCTTCTATGTGTAAAAGGTGGGGTCAACAAATTTTATAGTGAACAAGAGATAGTGTACTGTACAGACAGAAACAGTCTCATACAGTCACAATATGCCAGCATATTTGGATATCAAGTTAAATTTTTTAACATTGAAATCACTTAACTCTTTTAAAGTGTATTCTCAAACATTGTAGCATACACTGTAGCCAAAATTATTCACATTAAACATGAACAATTCTTGCACCAGAAAATCTTGGGAAAGGTGCTGAGGATAACTCTGGGTGTTTCCATATTTTCTGTTTTTTGTTTCAAGTCATCTGTAGCTGGGAAGCAGATGAATCAACTTCTCAACAAGTATAATTGTGACAGAACAATCAATTTAATTCTTAGACATAATGGTATCAAGTCTCCTATGTGTAAATGAGAAGCCTTGTATTTATGCCAACCAATACTGCCGTTACTTTCCCTTTCACAACCTGAAAGTAATGCAGGCACATTCCAATGTCCCACTGAAATAAATTGTGTTTACCTGTGTCAGCTCTATTAATTTAAATGATACTTAACTGTGCCTGACACATTGTAACCTGATTGTTAGATCCAAACTACTGTAAGTAGAGCTTCACTTGTGGAATGGCTCTTTCCTGTCTTTCCTTCCTTGCTACAACACCTTGTACTCTCCAAAAACTGTCTCCCTTAGGGTCTGGGGAATCATTTGGTACAATGGGTGAGCTTCAGTGGGAAAGGAAAGGAGTCAGGAAATAATGCTCCCCTCCCCAATTATGGGAATAGAAGTACCTTTTCTCTTGGCAGAAGAGAGGCTCTGAATCCAACTTTCTGTTTTCAGGTGTACCAAGGTGCCAATTTTAATAAGTACAATAAAAATTAGAGGTGTTAAATACATATCAAACAAGGCTAAATTACTTCTGTGCTGGTAATGGTTATGCATGACAAATACCTCTTTTACCATATGTGTGTGTGTGTTTCCACATTACAGTGCACATGCATTTTCTTAGAAGTGATATTTAGGTAGAAAAATCATTGTAGTGTCTTTTAACTGTGTCAAACTGATTGAAAACTGTATGTTGTTAGTTTATGTTAATTTATTAGACCCATTGTTAATATTATTGCTGTTTCTGCTTTTAATACCTTATAGAAGAAGAGAGCGATGACCCTTTAAACTCAAGCTTCACTAACCTGTGGGGAAACCCTGAATGCAAGATTCTTAAAAAGGAATCTTCCAAATCTTCATTTGAAGTTTCAGGTACTCCTGATGCTTCTACAGCTGCTTTAGGAAGCTCCCCATTCTTCACAGATGACTGCAACCATATAACTCCAAAACAACCTAGTGGCAAACATTTACGAAAAAGTCTGATTCATCCAAAAAACTTGGACAGGGATTTGCTTAGCAAAAGTGCTGGATCTGAAATACCCTCTCCACAAAAACACAATGGCAGGAATGATCATCTTCCTCAGGCAAAGAGGTTGGACTGCAGAGGTTCTTCGGAAAAATTGATCCATCTGGAAACTGCTGAAAGTTCCAACAACCACTCACATTCAGAAATGGGCACTGAACACGACACTGATTTCCCTTCAACTAATCTAACATTTTCCTCATTGAAAAGTGATTGTGTTTTTGGTACCAGACAACAACAGAGACCTAAAAGGAGATCAAGTTTTAAACCGAACACCTTAGCATTATGCAGAAGAGAGTCTCAGGATGACTTTTTGAAAGCAGTGCTCACTCCTATTGAGTCCAGCATAGATCAAGATTCTTCGTATGAAGATTACTTTTCATCATTTAATTTAAATAAAAGTAAAGCTAGCCTTCCTTTACCAATCCTGCAGAAATTGCAGAGTCCCAGTGGAGTCGTTTACAAATGTAGCCCTTCGCAAAGTAAGCAAAAGACAGTGTTGCAGAACTCCAGTACAAAGGAGAAATCTATGAGCAGCAAGAGGGAAAAAATGGCTGAGAATAATGAGAATGTTTCCAGGAGTGGCTGCATGCAGTCTGTATCTCTTCATAGTAAAGAGACTGCAGCTTTAAACTACATGTTGCAGGGTGAAAAAGCAAACACTGTGAAGAGCCCAGACTGTCTTCTGAATCTTAACATTCAACAAACGATGCATACAACCTTTGCAAATAGATGCCATCCTACAACTGGTAAGTCGCTACTACAATGAGGACAGCTAGAGTGATCAGTGGATCAGGAAAACCTGGCACAAACACCTTAGAATGAGAACTTTTGTCAGTTTCATGCTACATATTGATATTGCAATCAAATCATACCGTCACTGAGTATAACAGGGTTTTTTGTGTTCTAAATATGTATTTCAAGATTAGTCTTACAATCTAAAATTAGACATACTTTTAAATTAATTATGTATAACAGATGCCAGATGAGAAGGGTGAATTCCCAATAATATATCATTTGAAAATTCACAACCCTGTAACTGTACTCTGAAAGTGAGTGAAGAAACACAAACAGTTATAGGAGACTGAATTTACAGCAGTTTTAAAAACATTCTGGTGCAGACTTCTGACTTTGTACTGTTATATGTAAGCCACTTGAAACCCTGTGCCTTCCTTCAGACTATTAAATCTGGAAACCTCTGACCCTGGGCTGTGTCTTAAAACCTCTTGGCAATTAACACTGATTTGTTTGAACTTTGTTTAGACGGATATTAGTGAAAGCATAGATTCTGCTGATCCAGATGACATGGAAGCAAGTATATGGACTAGAGGTGTGCATTTGGCATAAACTGAGCAGGGAAAACTCTGAAAAATATCTTACCGGTGATGCCAACGCCATGGGGGTGTAAAGGTTCTTTGACTTGTGTGGCTAGCCGATAAACCACACAGTAAAACAATTATCCAGGCAGTAAAGGGTAACAAAAGAATTTATTTGAATAAGGAACACCTCACAGCTAAAATTCAGCGTGGATGTTCAATGTGTTATAACCGGGAGCTTGCATATATACTCTTCTTGCTCCTCCTCACTTTACATCATCACTGACATCATTTAGACATGCTCAGTTCAGATTTCTTTGGTCAGTCATCAATCACATATTCGACACACAGGATGTTACTTGGCTGCATCTCAACTCCTACAATGCAGGTGCACTTCTTGTTATGTTGATTTATGTTTTTGTTTACTTCTTTTGGATGTCTTCCCAGACTCCTTTCACTTTTGAATGAACTCCAGGCTGAGTTGATTTTTAGTACAAATTTAGATGTTTTCATTACAAAAATGGTTCTTTCACATTAATACATGCATATAAAAGTATAGCAATATTCTTAAAGCATTTTATAAACTTATTTTCACTAAAAGGTATACAACATATGAAAACATATCATTACAATGACATTCTAAAGAATTAAACCCTTTACATGAAGTCTTTTAGTGTTTTAAAGTAGCCTATGGCATAAAGCTCTTGTAGATGCACTGAATCTAACAGTTTTTATTTTGGTCCATCAGAATATTTTTGATAATTTTATAAAGCTTCTTTTTGTCTAAATTGAAGTTTTAATTTGTAAAATACACCACATTTTAGCCAGCAGGAGTCACCCTTTTATAATACAAGTTCTGCATTTTTAATTTACCCTTTTAATTGGATTTCAGGCGTGCATGATTTATTATTTTGTTTTCTTAAACCTTTTGGAACATCTCCCAACTTTTGCTTGTTAGTCCTTTTAACTTAACTGCTTTAGTTGACCTGTCCATGATTTATGTCTTTCATGTTGGCTGGGGTTTACGCACACCTGGCCAGCTGTTGGTCATTTTCCAACTCCTGCTCTTGTCAACAGCTTGTTAGCTTTAAACACATTTCATTATTAGAAAATTTAAACCTTAACTAGTTTCCTTTTCCATTAAACATACAAAAACTTTTTATCCATAAGCTTTCATTCTCAGCTATAAACATTCAGAGATATTTACTTTTTTAACACTCTGCTATAGCTGAAACATTCCCCTGGACTCAGCTTTTGAAGTAGAGAGGCTCTCATAAATCTTTAAAAATGATAATTCCTAATTGAGAATTGGCTAAGCTAACCGGGCAGAAACACCTGCAGTTAGCTCCCAATTTTTTCTTTGAAGTATAAGATTTCATCATAAATCTTGACAATTTATTGTGTCATCCCAAATAAGAAGGCTGACACAAGAACACCTGTTCATTAAAACTCAAACAGTCCTTAGTTAGGAAAAACCTCTCTTGTCAATTAAAAATGAATTAAACCACCTGTTTAGTGGTTTAAACAGTCCAATTCTTCCAGGAGAGTCCCAAAGGCTTTCCCCCAAAGATTCCTGTAAATCAGCAATAATCAATAGAAAATCATTTGAACCCTGGGTATCTCCTACACCACCAATATTTTTTGGGTATTATTTAAGCTGAATACAGAGTCAGAGAATCTGATCAGCTACCAGTCTAGCTCTAGTTTTGTTTTTATTTGGGGATATTCAGCTTTACCAAGGATCAGCTGGGGGGCGGGAGCTGAGAGCTCTGCACTCCCTCAGCTGGGGCGGGGCTCCTCTTGCAGCTCAGTTTTCTGCCCTCCCAGATGGGTTTGCATGCAGCTCCCCACCACCTGGGGTCAGTTTTAAACCGTGCTGCAGAAGGAGCATTCCCAGCCAGGTCTGCATGTGGCAGGGAGAGAGAGACCTCCCCGACGCATGCAGATCCTGGGGCCTGCTCTTCCTGCGGCGTGGTTTAAACCGTGCTGCAGGAGAAGCCAAGCCAGCATTTTTCTTCTTGGGTCTATTGGACTCAAAAATATTCGGGATTTCCAAAAAATCCCGAATCCAAATCCGATATTGGTATTGGAATCTGTGATTTTTTTGTGAATACTGATTTTTTTTCCCCGGGTCCAATAGACCCCCAACCAAAAAATGCTGATTTTTTTTTTTGCACACCCCTAATATGGACGTGATATAGCTGCTTACAGCCACCATGATTATTGAAATATATGCTGCTCTGATTAGTTTTCAGTGATTGGGCTGTGTAAAAATTTATATGAACTGGACTGAAAATGTGTATTTGCACACAAAAGCTTATACCTTGAATAAAACTTTGTTGGCCTTAAAGGTGCCACTGGACTCAAACTTTGTTTTGATGAACTGAGCAGTTCCTTTTAGATTTTAATTGTCCAAATTTATTTTGCAATACAGTTAAGGATTCCATTATTTTGTAAAATTTAGCTATTAATAGAGAAAGTTCTGAAATAATAGAAATAGAGATTTGAACAGATACTAAATGTTTAAGAAGAAGAAGAAGAGATTGGATTTATACCCCACCCTTCACTTGGAGTCTCAGAGCGGCTTACAAACCGCTTTCCCTTCCCCTCCCCACAACAGACACCCTGTGAGGTGGGTGGGGCTGAGAGAACTCTGACACAAACTGCTCTTTTTCAAGGACAGCTGTGCCAGAGCTTGTGACTGACGCAAGGTCACATCAGCAGGTGCAAGTGGAGGAGTGGGGAATCAAACCCGGTTCTCCCAGATTAGAGTCCGCACACTTAACCACTACACCAAACTGGCTCTCAGTTTAGACTCTTTAAACTGTAGGTCAATCCAATCAGCAACTATCTCAATTACTGCGAATTTTATGCACATGACTGAGCCCTTGAAAACAGTTTTTGAGACAATTGTGGAGGAGACATACACTTTCTTTTTATGTTGACTGGAATGTGGTTTTTACTGTATGTTCATTTCTGCAATTGCAGGGAAAATTAATGTATAATGTTAGCCACTTTGTATGTGGGAGGACTTGTTTAGTTGTTTGAAAGGGTGATAAATGCTAATGAATTCTGTTCTGAGAATGGAAGACTTCTTAAATGTTTAGATTATGGTATGGCTACTGAAGATGGTCATTACTGTGAAGAGCACTACTATTAAAATGTAGTTTAATAAGTTTTGAATGTCATGCTAGAGTAAATCAACTGATTAATACAGCAGGGTTGAATGTTGTATAAAGAATAAAAAGCCATTTCTTGTAACATAGATGGTTGTTTGAGAATTCATTACATTTGTTCTGTAAAAGGAGAAGCTTTGAAAAGAAATGTTTGTCTTTCGTACTTTACACCAGGGCTTCCAGCAGATGACCCACAAGGGTATTGGGGCCTACTGCCTAAATATTTGTGGTCCTGGGACGATTTTAACTTGGCATTCTGTGTGACTTGGCTGTGCCTTTTTGGTTTGCTATCTCTTTAAAACTGGAAAGTGGTTAGTGTGGTTGTTGCTCACTAAGACTTTTCAGCAGGGGAAGCCAGAGCAAGCGCTCCCTGGTTGACAATTTGCAAGAGAAACAGTGTTTGGCAACCTAGGGCGGAATGGCTTATTCAACCCTCTCTGCTCTCTTTGTGCTCCTAGTGCTGCTAGGAGGTCTCTGGGGATTGGGGAAGGCAAGGAGGTGTCAGGCTGAACCAGGCTTAATTTTTTTTTTAAATCAGTACTGGTTTGATAGGAGGAGCTGTGGTGGCTCAAGTGCTTAAGATGCTGAACTGCAGGCTGTGGAAGGTCGGTAGTTCAGCAGTTCGAGACCCGAGTGTGCCGCATGACGGAGTGAGCTACCGTCTCTAGTTTCAGCTCCTGCCAACCTAGCAGTTTGAAAGCAAGAAATTGCAAGTAGATAAATAGGTACCACTTCGGTGGGAAGGTAACAGCGTTCCGTGCACCTTGGTGTTTAGTCATGCCGGCCACATGACCACGGAAATGTCTTCGGACAGCGCTGGCTCTTCGGCTTTGAAACGGAGATGAACACTGCAACCCTAGAGTCGGATTCGACTGGCTTTCGAGCAAGGGAACCTTTACCTTTACTGGTTTGATAAGCGCCACAAGAAAATGTTAGACTACAGAACCGGATCTTTCCCCCCGCCCCACACACTTTTAAATAAAACATTTTTGTGGTAGGTGTAGAAATTTAAATGGATGGAAAGTAAGGTTTCATTTAATTGACCTGATCAAGCAACATTTCTGGCAGAGAGGATCCAAGTGTACTGTTTCTTTCTTATACCCTGGTCTTCTGTCTATTTACTTAGAGGCCTCAGTTTGTTGAATGAGACTTTTATTTAAATAAGTATGCATAAGATTGGAGTCTAAAAAATGCTACTGCAATTCACTGACTGAGGATTGTGCTTATTGAGCTACTGTTCAAGTAATTTTCTAGCTT